GGGGCTCCAAAGGTATGATTCCAATCTCCAGCCGGGCTTTAGAACTACTAAATTGGTTAGAACACAACTTTCACCATTACTCCTTGTTAATCTGAAGCATGAATCCACATAGTCAGCCAAGGAATATTAACTGAGCACATGTGAAAGCTCCTCTTTTACCTCCCCAGGATACACTACTAAAAAGAAAGAACAAATATGGCAAGTATTAAGTTCAAGACCAAAGGTCTTCAGGCTGGGGAAACAGGGAAGTGCTAACGTCACAGTTTACGTCTGAGGCTCATCTGCAGGTAGAATTCCCTCTTGCTCAGGAGAGCTCAGTCTTGTGTTCTATTCTGACCTTCAACTGATTGGATGAGGCCCACCCACATTAAGGAGGTTGATCTGCTTTACTTAAAGTCCACTTAAATGCCATCTCATCCAAAAACAGCATCACAGAAACATTCAGAATAATGTTTAACCTCATATCGGAGCACTATGGCACCACTAAGTCAACACAGAATAACAGTCACATGGCCCATGATGGGCTAAACGTCCAGGAGGAGGCTGGATGATACTGAAGCACAACAACAAAACCAGTGCAGAGTGTGAAGATGGCTCGGAATGCCGGGTGACGTGGAGAGTGGGCAGGGAAAGCCTCCTGGAGGCACAGAATATGAAGGAGGGGCATAGAATGAGAAGTAGAAAGTAAAAACTCTTGTAGGCAGAAGGACTGAATCCACAAAGTCCTACGAGCTGCTAAGAACTGGGTGAGCTTGAGAAAATGCTAGAAGGCTGCAGGGGCTGCTACACACACAGCAATGGGGGGAAGGGCAGGAGAGGACGTTAGTGAGGCCAGCAGGGGCCAGGTCCTTCAGAGCCCTAGAGTTAAGATGAAGCCAAAACAGGGAAGTGCCCGGATTAGATTGACATTTAGGGTGTTGGGTCTGGCTGAAGGGGGAGAAGTGGACTAGGGGAAGCATCAGTGGGGGGTGGGCAGCGAGGTCCTGAAATGGTCCCGGTAAGAGATGAGTGCTCAGATGCGGCCATGTGACCTAACTCGTGTCTTCTTTGGCAGAAGTAAATCGAACTTTCTAGAGCATTCGATGTTGTAGCAAGTGGTAAGGGAAACAGAGAATTCCCACATTTCTGGCTTAAACAATTCAAAAGAAACAAGAGCTTTTATCCTAGTTACCAGCCTGGCTCAAGTTATACCCAACAGCAGCCTGCATTATGCAAATTGTGTATCCTAATTAATGTAGATCCAGTTTGATTTATGCAAATTCTTGCTTTGGGCTGTGTTAGTCATTTCCTGCCTGCACTACCTCTTGCCCATCAGGACCACTTCCCCCGCACCCTTCATCCCATTGCTGCTCTATGGGCCAGAGCCATGAGCATGTCTGGGGTCAGTGAGCTCTGAGTGGCCATAGTGGCTGAGTCCAAGGACAGGAGGAAGGTGTGTCTGACATCCAACCTGCGCCAGTACCGCCTATGGGCCTCTCTCTTTGAGAGCGTGCTCCTGAGCTCCTGTGTGCCACTGGCCTCTCTCTCCATCAGTGTGTGACTGCTCCAGTCCCTGGTAGGACTCCTCTGTCTCAGAACTCGCGCCCAGCCCTCCTGCCATGCACTCCCAATTCACTCGCACACTATCTGCATGCTGCAAAAATATTGACCACCCCCCGACCCCATCGTACCTTTTAAAGGCACTCCCACACAGGAACGCCGCCTTATGTTATTGAGGCAGAGTGTGTGTTTTATTCAATTCTGAACGCCAGGCGCCTAGAATAGCTCACAAGATAAATGTCAATCAACTCTAGCATAATCAAGACACCCATTCCTGACTCATTAGGGCCCTCTCATTCCCTTTAAGCTTCTCAGATTTATACACTGTAATTAGAAACTTGGTGATTTTGACTGCTAAACAGAAAAGCTTAGAGGGACGCTTCCCATGTCTGAATTTTAAATATTTTCACACTTCGTTAACCCCGTTGCTGGTGTAACATCTTCTGGCCCAATTCCCTCACACTGCGTGATTTTTATTTTTGGATAGAGATGAGCACAATTAATTGAATTCAGACACATATTGATTACTGTTTTTCATGAACTCTGAACAGCTTGTCTGGGAGTGATTTTATTGAGGAGTCGTTAAACAACTGTTTGGCTGGGCCGTGTCCCCCACGTCCTCATCCGGGCTGTAAGTGCCTGTCTGCAGGGTTGATGGCCTATTTGTGGGGAGCTGTGTTGTTCACAAGAGCAGTCAGAACGGGAAAAGCCATACCCACTCTCTTCACACACTTGCCCCGCCTGGGGAACACTGAGATCCACTCAAACCCATGCAGGCCTCTGGCGGGGTCTGTGGGAACGGCCTGATTCCCATTCCTGGTGAAAATACTCAGCTTGTGGGCCCCATGTGAGCAGGGATATCACTCAGATCGTTCAATGGCCACATTATTCATCCAAGGACTGCACTGCTTTCAGCAGGCGGAACTTTCCAGATCCAGACGATGGAGTTTTAGAATGTCTCTTGGACCAGTGCTTCTCACACTTCAATGTGCACATGAATCACCAGAAGATCTTGTTAAAACACAGACTCTGGTTCAGGGGGACTGGGCTGGGGCCTGAGATGCTGCATGTCTGATGCCCATCTGTGGACATGAGGCCTTTGACGTGACCTACCTCTGCACCGCCTGCCACTCTGTGATCGAGAAGAGCATTCTGCGTCTCCCACTAAAGTATAGGTCCCTGGAGATCGGAGGCCATGGTCTGATTCCTAACCCAAGTTACAGCAGGAAAGAGGCAGATGTGACCAAGTTTCCACATCTCTACCTGGGCACAAGGTCTTCCAATAAAAAGCCGAGCTCTCATTGCAATGTCATAGATGATGGCAATGTCCTCGCCTCCTGGCACACTTTTCAGATGTCCCCAAGATGCTGATGCACCCACAGCCAGTTAGCCACACAACGGCCTGGTAATTGTTTAAGAATATAAATATGATTCCTAGGGCTCTTTATTCTTCTCTGGATAAAGCACACACTCTGCCCCTGCCCACCCATGGTCTTATCACTGTCCTTCACGCTCACAAAGCTTCAGTCACTCTGACCTCCTATTTGTCAAACATGCCACAGCCGTTTCTACCCCAGGGCCTTTGCACTAGCTATTTTTCTCCAAGTGTCATCACCTCTTTGCTTTCAAAGACTGGCCACAGGCAAGGTTCCAACAGTAGAGCGATTCCAAAATGAGTTTTAAACCTTTGGTTTTTCTAGGTTTGACATACATTTATTTTTCTCTTGATTCTTGCCCAGTTGGAGACTGGAACAGTCTGACACTTTCATATGACAACAAGAAGACTGAAGCCCAGAGACAGAATGAGACCGAATCAAAGCCACTCATTTTATGAGGGGGCAAAACTGTCCAAGGACAGACCCAGAGGTTGAAAGTTGGAGTCATAGAGAAGAAAATGTAATCTTAACACAATACATAGTGCTTGGACCTGCACTGCTTAACAGTATTTGTAGTATTAGACCATTACAACCCACCTATACCTCTCCCTGTTTTTGGCTTTTGACTTTGCTGAGTTCAAGGTTGAACTTAAGAAGAGGGAGATAATCTTGAATTTCTCTTTCATTTGTGTTATCCCATTTTTCTTTGTCACAAAATATACTTTTTGAGGCCAGAGAGGGTGATTTTTAATTTATGGATTTCTCTCTACAATTACAACAAGAACCTAATTTTAAAAATCAAATTGGTTTCATCTAATTAAATTTGGAAATTGCCTCATAAACATATACTCTGTTATAAATGTCTTTAAAAGCAAGGGCTCCCGCTTCCTGTCTGGAGCAGAATTGGGTTGAGCCCAGCATGGGGGGGGGAGGGGACTCCCCATCTCTCTTCTCAGGAGGACACACTCTTTTATCAAGTGTCAAAACTCTCTAAAGACTCCTGGTCTACAGCCGTGCTTCTCGAACTCCAATGCCCACGTGAATCACAAACAGGCATCTTGTGAGAATAGAAACTCTGATTCGGGAGCTCTGGTGAAGCCTCAGATGAAGTATTTCTAACCAGCCCCCAGGCATTGCTGATGCGACTGGTCCATGGACCACACTGACTAAGGGGCAAGACACTTGCACTTGAATTCAGGATCCATGAATTTGCCATCATGTGACTTTGGTCTTTTCACTTCACCACTCTGAGTCTCAATTTTCTCATTTTTATGCAATGATAAGAGCTAACATTTATTAATGAGATTTCTAAATGCCAGAGTACTAAACATATATTTATATATGCTTATAAATATAAATGAAAGGCTACAGGATAAACCCAAGGTTACATAGCAAGTAAGTGGTGGAGGATTAATCCTGGCCATAGTCCAATACTAGAAATGAGCTCTATCAGCCTTATCAAAGTTTAGTTTGTTCTTCTTTTGCAGTGAACTTCTATACAGCTCATTCTAATTCTGAAAGTATTTAGGAAGCTGCATTGTGTTGGCTTATGAGTCCTTCCTGCCTGAGGAAGATCTGCTCCATCTCTGATATAAGGTCCTGCTAATCCCGGGACAGCATCACTTGGAGGACAATAAAGAATGCCTGGTCCCCAGAGCAATGTTAAAGCTCAAGAATCATGTGCCCCCAGGGAAGGGAGTGACGCTGGGATTCTTTTGGAAGCCCAGGGACTGGTGTGGGTAGGATGGGCATCATGCGAGCATTGTGGATGAATCATAACCACTGCTTGCCAGGCCTGGGTCCTCTTGGCCATGCCAGGACAGCCCAGCTCCCTGCGTCCTGAAACCTTTGCTGAAGCGATCGAGAATCCCTTCAATGCATCGTATGCCCATTTGCTTTGTCATCGGGGCTATCATGACAGCACAACAGTATGCCCTGCGTTTTCTTCCCACCATGTCCGTGATTGTGTCTCACTCCCCTTTATGCCCTCAGCAGAGCTCTGAACATAGCAGGTGTTCGCCGGCCTCAGGCTGAAGTCAATAGAATGAAGCCTGACAAGAGATACAGCCAAAGGGGCCTCCTTACCTCGTACAGCGTGATGACCCCATTGGTCTCATTGGGAGGTTTCCACTGGATGTAGATCTTCTCCTCAAAGGGTCCCCCTTGGATGGACTCTAGGGGAACAGCACCTGGAACTGCAGAAGGGAAAAGTTAGGAACTTGATGTCGCCTTCTGTCTCATGTCCCCAGCCTCACTGACCTGGAACAGGAGTTGGCCAAGTTTTCCTGTAAAGAGTCAGATAATCATTATTTTAGGCTTTGTGAGCCATACGGTCCCTGTTGCAACTACTCCACTTTGTGTTTGTAGCACAAAAACAGCCTAAGACAATCCATAAATAAATGGGCATGGCTTCATTTCAACAAAACTTTTATTTCTAAAAACAGGCAACGGGCTGGAGCGGACCCACAGGCCATAGTTTTTTCACCCCTCTCCTGGAAGCCTGATGGCTTTTGACCTGCAGACTGAGCAAGTCTGGTCTTGAACTAAACCTGACCAGGGTTGGAGGACATCTGTAGGTCCCCCAGTCCTGCCAGCACGTGGGATTCTGGGGCTAGACTCTTGCCTTAGGACTGGTATTTGCAGAATGCAAAGTGAGCTTCACTTGCCAAACCTTGCCCAGTTTTCTCCAGCTACAGGAAGTGCTTCCTCAGCTGAATCCATCGGGAACTATGTGCCCTGAAGTCGCAATCCAATTAGAAGGAGCTCGCCATGCTCCGGGGAGGCAGCTAGGCCGTCTCGCTGCTGAGCCTCCAATGTCTGGAACACGGTAGATGCTTAATAACCATTTGCTGGTTGGGTAACTAGGGGAATAAATGACCTATGCCAGCAGTTTGCCCTAATGAGCAAAACCTTTCCTAGGCTGCTTGGTACCCAGGTCCGTCTCCCAGCCAGCATCCTCCTGCTGGACTCCACCATCGTGTGACAGCCTGGAAGATGCTGAACCACAAAATAAATAATTCCCCGAACTTCTTTATAACCCCCAAGGGAATCTTGAATTCATGTAAAGCATTACGGGATCTATTTATATGTTGGCCTTATAAAAGCAGGTACTTTTACGAAGCGCTTACTCTTTGATCAGAATTTTACATACATGATTTCATTGAAGCCCAAAACCAGCTCTGCCCAGTACTGATGATCTCTTTTTGCGCTGAGAAGGGAGCTGAGGCTAAGAGAATCAAGTAACTCGCTCAAGGTCATATGGCTCTTAAATTATAATGAGGGAACTGAATACCTATCTGTGAGTTTCAAAGCATATACTCTTAATCACCATGCTCGCCTCCCTAGATAGAGCCTTGGCCATATGTTGCAATCAGTTCCCTATTGTTAAATTAAAATATATTTAGTTTTTCTCATTATGGACACGATACGCAGGATTTGTTGACTATTAAGAATATACAAAAAGATTTAAAGAAGAAAAGAACAAAATCACTCCTATTCCCCAGAATTGGAGATATTTTTATGCCAATGCATATACCTATTTATTTAAAAATTAAACTCCTTCTGTGCATTTCGTGTTGTGATCTTCTTTTATAGCTAAACAAATCACACTTAAAAAACCTTCACATGTTCTTTGGGGCCATGTGTTTTAATGGCTGCCTAGAGAAGGACAGGCCCCATTCCAGCCACCAACCCTTTATTACCGGGCATTACATTTGGCTTAAATTCTTTATGATCATAAGCAACAATGTGATGAACATTCTTATAAGTAAGTATTTGCATGAAACTCTGATGTCCCTAAGACACATTTTTGGAAATCAATCTACTGAGCCAACATAGATGAATTATTTTATTTTAAAGGCTTTTGATATATATTACCATACCTTCCAGAAAGTTAGTACAACTCTGGGATCCCCAACAGAAAAATATGCCGATTTTCAACCTCTGCCACCACTGACTATTTAAAAAAATAAGTGTCTGTGTGTGTATCTTTTTTTAGAATACTGGAGAGAGTGGATTTGTTTTTCAGTTTAATTGGCCATTTGCATTGATTCTTTCATGAACATCCTCTCTATACCCTGTGCTCATTTCCCTGTATGGCTCTTCATTTTTGTTCATCATTGTTTTATGAGCTGGTAATTATAATCTGTTTTTAAGAACATAAGCTGTTTTGCATAAGTTACAAATATTTTTGTCAGTTTCTCATTTGCTTTTTAAATCTTTTAGGTATGTAGAAGCTTCGGAGCAGTCAGATCTCTTATTGCTTTTCCTTAACCATTCATCCTTTCCACAAATATTTATTGACTCTTTAATATGACCAAGGGGATGGCGGTGGTCCACTAGGGATACACCAATGGCTAAGAAAGATAGAGTCAAATCCTTGCTAAAGCTTGTGTTCTGGAAAGGGAGACAGACATTAAATAAATAATTACACTCACAATTAAATTCTTAAAATTGTTATCAGGACTTGGAGATAAAGTGCAGGTGTCAGGAGAATTATAACAAGCAGAGAAAAACCAGTCTGGCAAATCAGGATAATATGTGAAAATAAATTCAAGTCAATGAGTAAGTAGAAGTTACTAGGGCAAAGGTGGGGAGGGCGTGTATTGAGTGGGGTGGATACCTTTGGGAGGGCAAGAGCAGGAGGAGAAAAACCATCTTGGGGGGCAGATATGGTAGCTTGGGCCAGGGTGATGGTCGTGCAGAGGATGTGCAGGAGATTTGGGGGTGCTGAACTAATGTGAATTGGTGGTGATGGATAAGGGTGAAGAGATGGAGAGAGGTGTTAAGGAAGACCCAGCTCCTCTGCTTTATACAACTGGAGTGGATCAGAGTGTTGTTCATAGAGAAGAAGCTCAGAGGAGAGTTAGTTTGGGAAAGGAAGCGTTGGCCATACTTCATTGGAGGTGTGTATGTGCCCTTGAGGCAATTTTGAGTTGCGTTGTTGGATATATGAGACTATGACCAATGTTTAGAAATTAAAACCATGGGCAGGGAATAGATATTATAGTAAGAATGTAGAGGGCAACAAAAAAAGGAGGTCTGGGACTAAGCCCAGAGGAACTCCAATATTAACAAATAGGAGGAAAACAAAGACACTGAAAAATAAAGGCTGTGTTCAGAGAGGCAAGGGAAAACCAGGAAGGTGAGCTGTCATCACAGCAGCAAAGGGAGGACCCAGAAGGTCTGGTGAAGAGTGACAGGTGTGGCCCTAGCCAGTTTGGCTCAATGGACAGGTCATCAGCCCGAAGACTGAAGGGTCCCGGGTTCGATTCTGGTCAGGGGTATGTACCTAGATTACAGGTTGCAGGCTTGACCCCCATGCAGGGAGACCACCTGCTTGTTTCTCTTCCCCCCTCCCCCCCCGTCCACTGTCTCTAAAACTCAATGGAAAAAATATCCTCAAGTGAGGATTAACAACAACAAAAAAAGAGTGACAGGTGTGGCTAAGTAGTCAAGTAGGATGCAAACTCATATTTTCCAATTGGATTTAGTGTCTACAAGATTACTCATGACCCAAGCAAGAGTAATTTAGGATGAACGCTGGTGTTCCAAGCCATCCTGCAGTGGGTGGAGAAGGGAGTGGAAGGTGAGGGATTGTGCTGAGACAAGTGAACTATTTCGGATGTGACTGGGAGGAGAATGCAAGAAGTGGCGGGGACGAGATATGGAGCCAAAGTAGTGCCCCCTTCCAAACACAGGAAAGGTCATGGCATAATTAAGGGCAATCAGAAAAAATCCAGAATGGAAGTAAGAGGTGGAAGGGTGGGAAAGAGAGAGGAAATAACTGACATTGGTGGGTCCTGAAAAGGCAGAAGCAGGGTGGGTGAAAAGAAAGCACCCTTCTCTCGGTGAGGTAAGAGAAGAGAAAGAGACTATGCAGCTGCTTAGAGGGGGAATTGAAGTGTCCTAATGGCTTCATTTTCTTGAAAAGAGAGGGTGAAACCATCAACCAAAAGTATAGTGAAAAGAGGAGATCCTTGAAGAATTTGGAGAAGCTTGAAAAGGCGGAAAGTGAGATGAACGGAGAGATGCAGAGTCTACTCATTAAGAACAGTAGCTCTAGCAGGTTTGGCTCAATTGATAGAGCATCAGGCTGCTGACCAGGTTTGATTTTGGTCAAAGGCATGTACCTTTGTTGCAGGCTCCTCCCCGGCCTGGGCCCTAGTCTAGGTGTGTGCAGGAGACAACCAATTGATGTGCTTCTACCACATTGATATTTCTCTCTGTCTTTCCCTCTCTTTTCCACTCTCTTTAAAAATCAATGGAAAAATATCTTTGGGTGAGGATTAAAAAAAAAAAGAAGAAGGGTCTGATAGTGTGACTGTGAACATCAAGCTGTATCACAAGGAAGGCCTCTTGCTTTCTACCCTCCTTCCTTCCAGATTAAAGCAAATTCTCTTTCTCACCCCAGATCATATCAATAGTCATCTGTATTTTCTCCTATTTATTTTATGATTTATTCCTATCTTTTTCTTTGTTAATCAAACACTGCAATTTATCTGGAATCTGTTGACCCTAAACAAACAGACAGAGGTCAGATATTTCTCCAGGAAAATGGATTTACTTGGACACAATGAAGAATTGATATTCAGGATATATGGTCTAATGGGGAACCACATGCAAGTCCTGAGAAACAAAGGAGAGGAGACTCATAGAGAAGAGGAAGTTGGGAGAGCCATTATAAACAAAGAATTCTTCCTGTTGGGATCCACCATTGATGTAGTGTGAGAGCTTCCCCCACAGACCCTCCCAACTCCAATTTAAATGAGGTTTCTGTCTATTAATCTTTACAGTCTCTTTTTTACAGTTTGAGGGTCTTTGCATATTCTTGACTGATCCTTTCATTGGCTATCTATCTATATAAAAGCTAAGCGACCATCGCAACCAAATGGACAACCGAACAGGCTGTTTGGGGCGACTAGGCTGGCAGGGGGGTTAGTGAGGGGAGACCAAATGACTGAGCAGCAGGCTGCGTGGGGCGACCAGCCTGGCAGAGGGGTTAGTGAGGGGAGACCAAATGACTGAGCAGCAGGCTGCATGGGGCAACCAGGCCGGCAGGCGGGGGGGGGGGGGAGCATTTGAGGGCAACCAGGCCAGTGGGGGGGGGGGCAGTTGGGCGATCAGGCCAGCAGGCTGAGGCAGTTAGGGGTGATCAGGTCGGCAGGGAGGCAGTTAGGGGTGACCAGGCAGGCGG